TTTTTCTACCCTTTTTTGCAAAAAATAAATTTGGTGCCCAAATAAGATATAGTGTTTCGATTTTTAGCTCTGACTATTTCCTTCTTCGTCGGCCTGGCTAGAACTGTTGTAAGCTAGATTTTATGTGTTCTTTACAAATGATCCTGAACGATTCTTATCCTCCGACATTATTTATTAATTTCTTTACTCTTTTTCTGCTTTATCAAGTATCAAACGAATAATGAGCGCATGAAGGTTATCAGCACGACCATATGTTTTTGCCGGTTTCACGAAGCAATCAGATTGTTAGCAGTATGAATGGTTGTTGTTTTACAGTCGCTGCTTTACAGTTTATCTTACGGTTTACTATATTCGAAATGTTTTTGTTTGTCTTTTGAGGAAAGTAGAATCGCATTTTAGGCCTGGAAAACTTTTCAGCATGTATGATCACTACGCAGCGGAGAAAGAAAGGGGAGGTAGGTCTGCGGTTTTACAATTCGATATTTTCCATAATCGTGGTCGTGCTTCTAAATGTTTTTGTAATACTGTAGTGTTGCACAGGATAAGCCACCATTTTCGCAAAATTTTTCAGCGTTTTTGTTTTTTTGATCACTGCTGCTGAGTTGAATGGGGTAACGGAAATTCAAATACCCATAAATGCACACACACACACACACACACACACACACACACACACACACAAACACACACACAAACCGGCAGCTTCTCGACAGTTTTGCTCAAACATGTAATAAAATTGCATAAATACATATCACCAGAAGGGTACATCAAGCCGCAATGTGCAGGCTTAAGTCGCAAAACATTCCAAAAAAGCAACGCACATAAATAGAAAGGATACAGATCTATTCAGAAAAAAAAATATTCGGAATGATGCAAGACGCATGGATGCAGAACTATGAATTAACTAGAAGAACATTTCACGCCCACGAACTCGTCCGCACTGATAGCTCAAGTAGCTGAAATTTCATCTTAGCTTTTGTAGATCTCGAAACCGAAATATGCGGAAAGATACACAAACACATAAACAGCATATCTCTTTACAGTATTGGTTTCTGCATTGCATAGATGCAAAAGAAAAAAAATAAATGAGACGTGATTTCCAAGTACAAGGATAAATCTTTGTGTTAACCCTATTAACCGTTGACAAGTGACGTTATTAAATAAACAATTCAGTGTTTCAAAGCATGTTCAAAGCCATCCAAATTGCCCTTCTTTTTCAGAATTTCTGGCCTCCAGCTGCTTGGCCTTGGCAAATAACACAGCATCGTGAACGGACGGAAAGAAATTCTTAGCCGGTATAGTATTGTAGATATTGCACCGAGCAAACAGCGACCGTGCTGCTGCTGAAAACACAACAGCGCTTTCTTCCATGTACTTCTAGTATAATGGCTAACGTATCACACGATCAGAAAGTTTTAAAGAAATGTGTAGGAGTCAATGGACCGAAACATTTCTTACCTATTACAAATATTTCAATACTCCCATTCCTTTTTTCACTTCGTTTTTCTTTCCTTCTTCATTTTTTCTGCTTCATAATTTTCTACCCTATTTATCAATAGCAAAAATAAAAGATGCCTCTTGATTGCCTCTTGATCCATGTCCCTTGCAAGATGGTTCCGTTCCCTACAAATCTTGCAAATGAGATAACGCTGCGCGGTTATCGATAGCACCAACGATGCATCGAGCATTAGACGGAAACGCCAGCTCAAGATGAAACGCAAATTTCTATCACCTTGCGAAAATTTGAGTACTGCATAACGAAGTCGAACTCTACGTACCTTTGGACGCAGCCACCATCACTACTATATTGTGTTTCCTCAAATCGCTCGATAAATTCTTCAGACTTTCGACGCCGGTATAGTCGATGAAGGTGAATCCGGATGCATCAATTATTAGATATATTCGTTCTTTTTCTTTCAGCATTTTCTGGAAGTATCTATAGTAATTTTTCAAAAAAAATAAAAAATTTGAAGAGGGCTACTACGTGTCAGCGAACTGTTATT